TCCGACTTCGCGTCCTCGCTGATTCGTCCCGAGAAAGTTGAACCAGAAGGCTCGCGAGCTGATCGCAACGCCGACGATCATCTCGGCAAAGGCGCGCGTGAATTCGTCTCTTGTCCAGGCCTGCTTCAGGGCCCCCGCGCCTTGGAGGAATTTCGCGGACTCAATTGTAGTGCTGACGTCCACAAAGTTCACGAGGGTGTCCTTCATCCTCGCACTGATTGACAGCTGTTTGACGAGTTGTTCGAACGCGCCGTCCAACTTTGAGCTCAGGCTGTACCTGGCGCGAGGAGAGAAGGTGACGTTCGCGCCGGCAATGATGTCGTCGTAGGTCTTCCCCTCGATGTTTAGCTTCCGGACAACCTCTGCCCGAAACAGCATCATGCTGGACGCGACATCTCCCCTGTCGTCTCGGCGGTACATGGTGTATGCGAACTCCATCATCAGGTCATGGAGCTCGCCGGGGCATACGTCGAAGACGCACGGCAGCGGAGGAGGCGGAGGGGCCTGCATCCTCGACCCAAGCTCTAGCGCAAGCCTCGTCTTCAGAGCCGCCGCCTCAGCGCTGGCCTCTGCCGCCTGCGCCTGCGCCTCCGCCGCCTCCTGTTCCTTCCGCGCAATCTCCATCTCGATTGCGGCCGTGCCCGCGATGGTCGAGCGGATTCTCTCCAGCTCGTCTGAAAATTGCCTCAGCACCGATTGGACGTAGTCGAGGGGCGGATAGGGCGGGCGCGCGGGCGGGTAGGGCACGGACGCAGACATCTGCTCAGCGTCGCTTGGCGACCGGATGACTGGTGACGGCGGTGGCGGTGGTGACGGAGAGCGGTATAAATCTTGGGTTGCTGACGGAGGAGGAAGGGGCGGGGTGCGCCCAAGGCACGGGCGAGACGAGTAGAGCGGATAACTGTCGTACAGGCAGCCTTTGCCCGAACAGGTTGTCTGATTGCAGAGAGTGAACGGCACTCCTTCTTCATTCCTCCCAATCTCTGCACAAGCGGCGACCGCCTCAGCGTACGTGCGCTTGGTGATTGGCTCTGCAGGTGGCTTGCCGGATGTGCAGGAGCGGCCCCTGTTGTAAACGCGCACGCAAGCGCCACTTCCGGCTACGTTGGGCTTGCAGCATTGTGTGACAATCCGGCGCAGTACCCTGCCCAGAGACGGATCTGTGATCTCTGCCCTCACGGTGTCTTCGTCTTGTCCTTCGACCAGGCAGGAGAGCTGGCCACCAGTCTTCGCATTGATGACCTGAACGCCGGCGCTTGGGATTCGAACCTAGGCTGAGCCAGCGCGTGGAGTAGGAGAGGCAGGCATGCCATCAGGGGCGCAAAGGCTGTGCTTGCAAGTTGCCTGAAGGCCAACGGGAGGACGGCCGATTTTAGTTGAGACGCGTCCCACCATTTGCGTCGTAATCGATTTGCCGCGTCTCCTCGATATGTTGCCGCGTCTTCGTGGAGCATTTCAGTGTACGTACGTTTCTCTCTCTCAGTGTAGTGTATGTACTTTTAGCTTACTGGGAGAGAAGGGAGAGAGAGGGGGTTGTTTGTGTTCTCTATCTATCTAGGCCCCGACACTCTAAGGGCCCTACGCTCTCTCAGTGTACGTGGCTCTTACGAACAAAGGTGCACTGCTCACAGGGTTTGCGATGAGGAGCGACGCCGAAGGAACGATTCTTCTCGGGTAAGTAAGCGCACCAACCACTCTCTAACACTAGCCGCCGAACGCAAGCGCACTACGACTGTCGACGATCGGTTCATACTAGCACCTCACCTCGCGGGCCGATCTTCAGTGGGGCTCTTACAAACTTACCCGAAGGTTCGAACGAAGACTGCCGACAGAGGTTGCGGGCGGTTGGGGAGCGACAACTAATTAATACCCCGGTCAAGCACCCACAACTGCGTGCGTGAGTGAGTGTGCCGGTCTGCTGGCTCATCTTCGCGTACCACCTTCGCACGTACTTTTAGCTTAGTGGGTGACTCACTCTCACTCAGTTATGTGTGTGGCGCTTCATTCTCATACGGATACGCACGCCTGAGCATCCTCGATCGATCGCCGTGCAAAACTCTCGTCTCTCGAGAAGAATTTAGGAAAATCAACTCTCTCTCACAGCAGACAGGAGACAGGCTCGACACAGGTGCGGACTGGCACTCTCGAGAAGAATAAAAGCGCTGCCAAATAAAGAGAGGAACTACAGTACGCGGTAGTGATCTAAACACCCGAATACCACGTTCGGATCGCTCCTCATCGGCAAACCCTGTCAGCAGTTCACCCTACGGGTATGTTCGTAATAGCTACATACACCGGAAAATTGTGGGCCCCATTTCCGGTCCTTTTGTTTGTTTGGCTTCAATGGACAATGCAGCACTGCGTGGGAGTCCATCCCTTTGGCATACTCAACGAAGACACGCGCGTACGATTGGAGGGCCTGGTCTCTGAGCAACGCCTCAACGGCACCCCGGGCCCCCCACTTTTGGCCATGTCGAAGAGTCGAACACGTACGCTGCTTTGAGACCTCGCTGCACCGGGCCCGCTACTGCGTAAAGGGCGTGGACCGTGAGTTGAGGAAATCGGAGGACGCGACCCACTTCGCCACAGACGGTCCCGCGCCTCGCCGCTATGACCGCTGCACGGCCCGTACCGTCCGCTGTGCAGCGGTCTTTGTCCGGAGTGAAAAGTCCAACGCGCTCGTCGGTGACGGTGTCCTCCGATTTCGCCGCGCTCGGCGAACCTCGACAGCGCCTTCGATGGCATGCAGCTCTTTGCGTCAGAAGCCTGGAGAGCAGCTCCTCGGCTGCTCACACGCTCTGCACAGTTGACACAGTCTACTGTGCGGCTACCACAGCTGTGACAGCGATGGGCTCGCCCTCACTGGCCCTCAGTCACTTGTGCTGCGGCTTGTGTGAGCGACACTGCTCGGCGACTGCCGGCACACTGTGAGACCATGGGTGTGAGGTAAAACCACGCTACCAGCGCTTGGTCACATCGGCCCCGAGGTCAGATCCTTTTACTCTGTTAGTGACAAGACTTGTCTACCGGCTGGAGCCGAGCAGGAGGACCCGGCGCACAACCCCTGGTCAACTCACGGTCACCCCGTACTGGGTCAGGCTCGCTGACAGTCCAAGGCGACTCTCCGTGCTTAAAGAATGTTTGTTACACCGGCAAAGGTGAGACTTTGTGGGAACCGCCACGTGTAGTAACATCGAGCTCACACTGAAAACACTGAGTTGACGATTTGCCGCTGCCTAAGGGTGGCGCCTTTAAGCGGGCCTTTGGCGAGGTGGCAGGCATCACAGGAGAGCCGAGGCTGAGGGTAAAGTTTCGCGCTTGCGATTTCCCTGTCGTTTCGTATACATTTATCTGTTGGCACCGCCCTCTGCGAATGCCAGATGCCGAGATGACCGAGGATACAGATGGCACCGAGAGGGTCGTGGACCGAGAGGCAATTGAGTCAGCAGCAGGTGTCTGCGTGATCTCAGAAGCGACTCACCCCTCTGGGGGAAACAGCCCTCCCCGCAGCCTCGCCGCCCCGCGCTGCAGCGGCACCGCTCTCCGCGTCAGCCGCGGCGGCGGCGGCTCCGGCCGCAGCCTGCGCCACAAGTCGGCGTCGCGCTGCAGCACGCCCGCCTCCGGCGCGGGCGGAGCGCCGAGCGACGGCCACGCGGTGGAGGCGAAGGCCTCGAGAGCGGAGAGGGACCACTCCTCGCTGTGCGCCTACGAGTAAAGACCGTCTTCTTAACAGGTGGTGGTTAGCGGAGAGGCGCCACTGCTCGCTGTGCGCCGCGATGAGCCCATCCTCCGCAAGCTCGTACCGCGTCGCGCCGAGGTACGGCTTGATCCGCGGGCGCCTGGGAGGAGGGAGGGAGAGGGGGTGGGAGGGGGTGGGAGGGGGTGGGAGGGAGAGGGAGGGAGAGGGAGGGGGAGGGGAGGGGAGGGTCGTGGGCCGAGAGAAGATGCGCGAGAGGGGCCCAATCAAACACACGCACACGCACGCACGCACACGTCCCCCCCTCCTCCCCACCTCCTCTGCCTCCCCTCCCCTCCCCGGGCCCCCGCGACGCGGTGCGTGCTGGCCCCGTACCATGGCAGCTTGAGCGCGCCAGAGAGGCGCCACCGGGCAACAAAGGAGCGGTCGCACACACGCTCGAGCTCGATGAGCTCGATCGCCGAGAGGGACGGGTCGAACAGCCCCCGAAGCGCGTCCGTGTACCTGCCGCGCACACACACGCACACCGCCCTCAGCAGGACAGCCCCGAGAGCAAGAGCCGAGGGCGGGCATCCGTTGTGTGGCGCGGCAAGCGGCGCCGCGCCTGCCGAGCGACTTGACGGGCATGTCCGGGTCGGGCGCGTCGAAGTAGCAGCCGTCCGAGTAGACGGCCTGCGTCAGCCGCCCCGTCACGTAGTACCCGCGCGCCTCGATGTCTTCACGCACCACCGCCATCACCTCCTCCACCGACAGCCCACGCGTCTTCTCGCCCATCGGCCGCACGGGAAGCGCGAGCGGGGCGAAGAGCGAGGCGTCGGAGCCGGGAAGCCACTGCCGGTCGAGGATGCTCTTGTGGCGCGCCGCGACAAAGTTGGCGACCGCGAGCGCCGCCTCGAGCGCATCATAGGCGCGGGTCCTCCAAAACGGGCAGCGAATCTCGCCAGACTGCTGGCTGAGGCGGCCGAGCGAGGAGCCCGGGCTGACGGTCCGCGGCGACGAGGCGGAATCGGACGATAGGACTAGCGCCGGAGCCGCAACTCGGGCCGCGGAAGCTGCGCCTGCGGCGGGGCAGACAAATGACAGCTCGACCCGCATTTCCGTGAAAAAAAAGTAAGCACCTCGCACCGACTACGCCGAGGAGGCGAAGCGGAGTGCCAAGGCCGCGGCGTGCGCGGCCAACAACTACGACTTCATGACGTGGGCGGCGAGCACACGCGGCGGCATTGGCCGCGAGGCGGCGGAGTGGTTCACCACCGGCTTCGCCGCCAAGGTCGCCCTGGCGCGCTCCGACGGCGAGAAGTGGCGAGTGCGCAACGAGCGCAAGCGCCTCCTGCAGCAGCACTCGGCCATCATTGCGAGGCGCAACTGGGAGATCACCCAGCGCAACGCGTGGCCGAGGATGGGCGGCGTGGCGCCGCGAGCGCCGCCAGTCGAGTAGTAGCGGTAGGGAGTAGAGGTAGTCGTCTCAGTAGTGCGTGTCAGAGCGTCCCGTGTCGGTCAAGCAGCGTCTGTCGGATAGTAGGAGAGAGTGTGTCGTGTGTCGTGCGGATCAGTCCTGTCTGGGTGGGGGGGGGAAAGAGACGGAGAGGAGAGTCATTGAGCCTTGGCACCAGCCGGGCAGTGGGTTTGGCCCTGGCATCAGCCGGGCATGTTGTTGATTTGGCCTTGGCATCAGCCCTGGCAGGCGGGCACGCGGGACATGCACAGGCGCCAAAGGGGCGCAGAACCGACCTAACCCGTCGGAGGTGGGGGGAAGGGAGTACCGCCGGGTTCCCCTGCGTGAGCGCAAGAGTAACCCCGAGAGGGCTGAAGATGAGCGGTGCGCGCAGGGGTCGGCGTGACGGGGCGAGGGACGCGCCGCGCGGGGCGCCGCCTCACCGGCCCAAGTGGCGCAGGGCGAGGCGGCGAGAACCGAGCGAACACGTCCTCGTGAGCCCCGTGGCTCCAACCAGGCCCTTCCTTTTTTTGAGCAGGTGTGACGCCGCGCGAGCGACGCTCCGAGATCGCCCGAGATAGCGCGGCGCGGCGGTGGGTGAGGTGGGGTGGGGGGTGGGGGGGGGGGCGGCGTGGCGTGGAGCTCCGAGATAGCGCGAGATTGTGCGAGATCGCGCGGCGCGGCCCCGAGATGGCGCGAGATCGCCCGAGATCGCGCGGCGCGGCCCGAGGCGAGGTGGATGGGTTGGGAGCGAGGGGGCGGAAGTGATCAGTGCGGTAGATCGGTCAGTCGGGGCGCGTGAGCCGGACTTGTGAGCCGGACGGCTTTCATTTCTCTCTGCGTTGTTGAGCCAGGACTCAACATACTCGTTCTGTTGCCGTCCCAAACTGTCACTCCCCTCTCTCCCGGCCGGGGTGGGGCGCGCGCGGGGGCGGCGGGTGTGCGGCGAGTGTGCGGGATGTCTGTGGGCCCGAGAGCGATATGCCATGTCCGCCTTGCGTTGTTTCATAACATCGAAGGCTAAGCTCAAAAAAAGTTGGCACAAGCTGCACGCCCCTGTGAGCGGGGCGGGGTGCGCACTGTGCCTCTGTGTTCGTGCGTCGCCCATCTCTCCTGGAGATGACTGCTCTATTTATTGATACCCCCATTCCGATAAACGAAAGAAGAAAAAAGTGGCGAGATCGCGCGGCGCGGCCCGAGGCGAGGTGGATGGGTTGGGAGCGAGGGAGCGGAAGTGATCAGTGCGGTAGAGGATATCAGGAGAGAAGTCTTGTTGGCTTCTAAAAACTCTCTCTCAGGGTCAGCTCGGGGCGCAAGACCAAGAGGTGGCCTGCGAGCCATCCGGCTTACATTTACCCTGCGTTCTCGCACATGGAGTGCGAGCTGCGAGGTACTCGACTGTTGCCGTCCCAAACTGTCACTCCCCTCTTTACGGCTTTAACTTTATGGTCTCCCGGCCGGGGTGGGGGCGGCGGGTGTGCGGGATGTCTGTGGGCCCGAGAGCGATATGCCATGTCCGCCTTGCTTTGTTTCCTAACATCGACAAGGCTAGCTCAAAAAAAGTGATGGAATTTACAAAATATCTGATATCTCCCCTCTCATGCAAACACGCCCACACGAGTGTCCTCCCTCCCCACCGCATGCCACCCCGTCTCGTGGTCCTGCCTCCACTCGCGCTCAGACCCCTGAGTACGCCCTAGGGGGGGCGCCCTGCAGGCTCCAGTGCTCCGCCTGCATACGGTCTCCTCCGCTGGGCGGCCCGGACCTGGCCCCGCGCCCCACGCGCCCTACCTGTACATCTCCTCCTCGAGCCGCAGCAAAATGGCCTCGAGCTCTGCCCCCGCCTCGGCGGCGGCGGCCTCCGCCTCCTGCTGCGCCTTGGCCATCGCCGCGTACTTGGTGTAGGCCTGGTCCAGCGCGCCCAGCGTCGCGGCCTCCTCTATCGCCCGCTCGCGCGCACCCGCCTTGCGTCGCGTCAGCTCCTCGGCGTCAATATCGTCGGCGCAAAAGAGAGCGAGGTCCGGCTGGACGATCTCGGCGGTGCGCTGCTCCACCGCCATCGAGTGCGCCGACCGCGCCGTCTCCACCCGCTCCTCGAGGCTGCCCTTCACGGGCGGCCAGCCTCCGAGCGTGACAGCGCCCTTGCCCTCGCCCGGCCTGGCCTTCTTCTTGAAGGCCTCTTCGTTGTGAGCGGTGTGCGGCATGCCCATGAACGGACTCAGCCCGAGCGGCTGCGCCGGGTCGAAGGCCGTGCCGGTCGGCAGCTCGGGGCGCAGCGACGGGTCGACCAGGTTGTTTTTCGGGTCGAGCTTATCGGCGTTCGGCTCGCCCTTGGCGTTCATCCAGCAGGTCGCCGGCACGCGACTGGACGGAGCACGAGCGACGGGCCCAATGTAAAAACTGGAGCATAGAACGAAGGTCGCCAGCATCGGTCAGCGAGCGGTTAGAGAGCAGAGCCTGATGGCAGATATCTGCTGAGTCGAAGGAAAGTTGAGCAAAAAGAATTTTCAATGTATGTGGCTCTTACGTACATTCTTACGAGGCAGAAGAGAACGACGCGACAGAGGGGGAAGTGACAAGGGAGAGAACGACGAGAGTGGGACGGCCGCGAGGTGGCATGAAGGTTGCAGCGAGAAGCGGCGAGAGACTGCGAAAAGAGATACGAGGAGGCAGACCCCCCAGGGTGGGCGACGGCTAGCGCATCACACCCTCCTCTCCTTAAAATCCCTGTGTGGTGGCGGCGTGCCGTTCTCCCATCCCTCCCTTGGGTTGTGTGTTTTCTTTCTTTCTTTACATTCTTGCGCGAGGGGAGCTCGATAGACTCGAGGGGCCAGGATACGCCGCGAGGAGGACGGAGTTGCGCCGAAAGGCGAAAGAAGCCGCGAGAACAAGGGACCGGCAGGCGGCGGCGTCACAGGACGAGGCAGAAGGGAACGACGCGACAGAGGAGGAAATGACAAGGGAGAGAACGACGAGAGTGGGACGACCGCGAGGTGGCATGAAGGTTGCAGCGAGAATCGGAGAGAGACTGCGAAGAGAGATAGGAAGAGGCGGACTCCCTAGGGTGGGCGACGGCTAGCGCACCACACACCTCTCCTTAAAATCCCTGTGTGGTGGCGGCGTGCCGTCCTCCCATCCCTCCCTTGGGTTGTCTGTTTTCTTTCTTTCTTTCTTACATTCCCGGCAAACAAATGACGTGTGAGTGTTAGAGTTGTTTGTGAAGGAATATGCCAAGTGGGAGATGGGCGCGAGTGAGGAAGACCTCGCTATGGTGGTGCATCACGGCGACTTTTATATCTGGTCAACAGACCGCACCTTTCGCGCGTATCAGCTCTCGCAATGTATCAACTTTTGGGGGCCAGAGTCGTGGTCCGCGTGGGTGGCGCGTTGGTCCATGTGGCACCTGACTATTCTCCTGATGGTCGAGTTCAAGTGCGAGGTCCTCCCGCGCGAGGTGGTGCACGTCCCGATTTTGTGGGGCCTGGGGCTGCTGTTTGCCATGTGGTCGGGGCTCAAGCAGGTGGACGGCCTCGGCTACGGGCCTCAGAATGCCACGCCGGAGGGCTACGGCCCCGGCTGGATGCCCTGGTGACTGCGCGGGGCTCTGCGTTTGACTGTGCAACGCGCCTCCGCTGCGTCCTCCCACGCCCAGATCCCACCTCGCAGGTGCATCGGGCACTCCACCTCGGCCGTGATCGCCTTCTTTCTGTCGTGGTACGAGGCGGTGATGATCTGGTGGCCGAGCCGCGCCCTCCACGTCTGCTATGCTTTACTTGTGTGCTACTTTCTCTACACCCAGTCCCTCGGCGCCGACAGCAACGCAGGCAACGACTATGACGAGTACGTGACGCAGTGGGCGGTGGAGTGCTGATGAACCTGATCGTCACCTGGGCCAACGTGCCGCGTGTCCAGAAGGAAATCGAGCTAGGGACGTGGCGACCTTGGGCAGGCGGCTTCCGTTGGTGCTGCGGGAGCCTGCCTGTGCTGGAGGGGAGCTGTTGCTGCCCGCCCGCTGGTGCCACCGAGAGGGGAAAGTTGGCCGTGGCGGTCTGAGTTGGCGCATGCTGGGTTGGGCCTCACTCAAACTCAATGAGTCACTTGTCACGCGCAAGTTTGAGCTGAATCGTGTCCACATTCAGCTCAATCAGCGCTCTTTTTTCACCACAGCTGTAAGCTCACGAAAGAGTCACGTGTACGAGTCACGACTCACACAGCACTGACACACGAATGAGCCGTATCAGCTACATGTATCACATTTCTGTCAGTGTCACTGAGCGAGCCCCCCGCGCCCCGGCAGGCGGCACATCGTACGGCTTTTTAAAATTTTATGTGTGGCACACCGCACACCGGAGTGTGGCTCTTGCTTATGCCGAGAAAAATAGAAATATCGACCGAGACTACAAAAGGGCGCTACCGCTAGCTAGCTGGCGTGGACACAGAGGATGGGTGCTGTGCGCAGTCAGCCGGTTCAATCGATGTCGATCCCGTCGATCGCCGACGTATGGGCCGCCCCGCGCCCGCGCCGGCCGACGGCCGACGACAGGTTTTCACACAGAGAGTGCTCGCTCGTGCTCGACCCGCCTGGTTCAGAGGATGATCCCGCGCCGCTCGCCTCTCCTGCGCCTCCCACCGGCCCGACCTGGTCGCTCTCCCCCCACTCGGCGCCCTCGCCGTCGTCGCCCGCCTCCGCCGCTGCAGCGCGCCTGCGGCGCGCCTCCTCGCGCCTCTCCTCCGCTCGCGCCACCGCCAGCTCGAACTGGGGCCGGAAGCGGCGGTAGAGGCGCATCGCCGCCGCCGCGTCCTCCTCCGGCGAGTGGCATCCCTCTTGGATCCGCCACTGCAGAAACTCGGCGGCGAGGTGGCGCAACTTGCGCGGCCGGCCGGCCCGGGTGCCGAGCAGCGAGGGCAGCCCCCGCGCCGTGTCGCGCACCAGCCTGCGCGGGTGCCCAAACCCGAGGGCCGCAAAGTCGTGCTGCAAATCGTGCCTAGTGGCGGCATGTTGCGGACGGGTCGGGGGCGCATGTCCGGCCGCCGGCAGAGGCGCGCTGCAGGTGTTCGCCCGACGACAACCTTGCCCTTGAGCAAGGCGGAGACCTCCCTCGACACCGCCTCGAAGGGCGGCGCGGTGGCGAGCATCGGCGCAGTCACGCCCGACCAGCGCGTTCGGTAGTCGGTCACAGCGCAAGGCGGCCGGCAGTACGAAAAGTAGACCACCTCCTCCGCCTGGCGGTAGCAGGGCGCTCACTTCCGAGACACTTCCGAGACACTTCCGAGACACTTCCACACACGGCCTCCCGGGCAGAGGAGGCGGGGAGGTGTCGGGCCGGGCGCCGGGGCCGCTCCGCCTCGTTGACGACGCAGACGGAGGCGAGCTTGGAAGGCAGCCCGCTCGCTCCGACGCCGACCTGCAGCGAGGTTCCAGCGAGGTGTGCGGTACAGGCTCGGGGAGGGGCCGCCCGCGCTCGCCTGATGCGCACCATCTCGCAGTCGACGGCAAGCACGCCTCCCGCCTCCGCGCCGCTCCCGACCGCCACCGCCTCGCGCCGCGTCGGCGGCGGAGGCGCGGCGTCGTGCCGCGAGCCCGCCCGGCGCGCTGGGTGCTTTGAGGCGCCGCCGAGGTGCCGCCTGTTGCCGTCGCGGCCGCGCCCGTGCCGCGCAGCCGCCGCCTGCTCCTCGGGTGGGTGCGCGAGCAGGTAGCTGAGCGCCCACCGGCACGCGGCGAGCCTCCGCCTCACTGCGGAAGGAGGGCCGCCTGTTCACAGCCAAGCGTTGAGCGGCGCCTTCTTCACACGCGGCCTCACTGTGTCGTCGGCTGCCGCCGCTGAAGGCGGGGAGCGGGAGAGGCGAGCCGTCGCCGCCGGCCCCCTTCTGGGCGAGCGCGTCTGCGATCTCGTTCGACCGGTTCCCCTTGTGCGCCTGCACCTTGAAGAAGGCCGTCCGGCCTCTCCTCAGCCGCAGCAGCAGCTGGATCAAGAGCACGAGCCCGCCCCACCTTCCGTCCTGCGTCTGATCCGACACGCGCCTCCGGCCACGGCCACGGCCTCCGCCGCCCGACTCCGCCGCCGCCTGCGCGCAGCGCAGCGCGTGCATCGAGTCGGAGAAGACCGCGAGCGGCTCGCCACGCGGGTGGCGCAGGAGGCAGTGGGCGAGAGCCGCAAGCTCGGCGAGGTTCGAGTCTGCGGGTGCTCCAGCGGGAAGGGTGAGCCGGCCGTGCGTGTTGAGCTCGTGGCCCGCGGAGTAGAAGACGGCGGCGCCGCACGAGCCGTCCGCGAGCACCGCTCCGTCCACGAAGGCGCCCCGCGCCGCCGCCAGCCGCGGCTTGTCCAGCTTTGTGACGACAGTGAGTCGAGACGGCGGGAGCGGGCCGCCGCCAAAGAGGAGCTCGAGCAGGAGCTCGAGGAGGGCTCGAAGGGTGGACCACATATATCCTGAGTGTGGCACCCAAACTCCAACACGACGCTTGACGGTACGCGAGGCGACTCCCGTGGTTGGCCGCCGTTGCTGTGTGCCAGGGGTCGGCGAGTGTCCGTGCCCCAAATACACAAGCCCGCCCTCGCCTGTGGAGAAAACGTATCGGATCGTCTCTATTTTAAAGGCCCACTCCCGCCCTTTCTCAGAGCTGTGTTTGCGCTCGCTGTGCGCTCTCCCGTTGCTTCATGTTGCTGGCTATTCTGGAGTCCTCCTGGCTGCTCTCCGCCCACCAGCCGGCCACAGGCCGTCAGTCTCACCGGCCGGCGTCGAGAGAACGGCCAGACTCGACCGACCGGGTGTCGCGCCGCTGCCTGCTTCTCGCGCCGCTGTAGCAGCGCCAGCGGCTCGGCCGCGCATCCTTCACACACGCCGCCACGACCAAGCTGAGCGGGCCCAGTGTCGAGGTCTGGTGCGAGCTGCATGTGAGGGGCGGCTTTGGCCACAGCAGGTCCACCAGACGGATCTCAAAGCTTGCCGTCGGCGTGCTGTCGTGGCGAGAGCCGAGACCGCTGCAGAGGAGCCGAGTGCAGTGACGATCCAGAGGCTACCAGGGCCACCAAGTGGTAGCCCTTGTCAATTATGAGCAGGGCTGTGCTTTGATGGGGTTGTGCTTGAGCGTGTGTGAAGTGGGAGTGCGTGCCGGCGGTGTCTGTGGGTGAAATAGGCGTGTGTGAGGCCGTAAGAGCCGTGGTATGAGCCAGAGTGAGCTTCATCACCCAAGATAAGTGCGGTCTGGGACATATTAGGCTTGGTACTGATGGGCCTGGGCCAGGAGAGCGACAGAGATGGCGAGGTGGTGAGCTGGGAAGCCGCTTCGGCACCTGGACGTGTCGCGATGAAGTGCCAAGAAGCGCCGTTTGCGGCTAGTGCTCAAAAGATTGGGAGAGAAGGCCTACATATTATGACTGCATCCATGCACCTTGTGCATAGGGGCTGTGGAACAGGACATTTCACGGTCGGTGGCGCCGATAATGACCTCCGTAAAGCCCTCGGAATCGCCTCGGATGGGGTCCACCGGAGACAATCTCGAGCCCTCTCCGTGGCATCACGAGCCGGTGTGAGCTTGCAGACCCAAGGTAAGTGCGGTTCGGGACAGCTCGGGCCTGCTACTGATGGGCCTGGGCCAGGAGGGCGACAGAGAAGGCGAGGTGGTGGGCTGGGAGCAGGAAATAGCGCTTCGTGGCACTTGCATCGCGACACGGTCACACGCGGACTCTCCAGCGTCTCAGCTCCTGACTAGCACGTGGTTCTTATAACGGGCTCCC